CGCTGATCACATGAGGCAGAAACCAACTGGAGACATGGCTGCACCACTCCTCTCTGAGAGACCTAACTTCAGTTTCAAACCTTGCCGCAACAACACTTCAAGATCATTCAACTTGTATTCATGTGAATATAAAGATTCCCATAAATTCCGATTAGGTGATCCAGAGAAGTGGGATTTCCTTTTTTCCCCAGAGGTTCACTAAATATTACAATGTGTTACTAAAGAACATTGTGGGGTTTTGGCGAGATTAGAAAATAATATCCATAAAAATAATGCTGAGTCTTCAGGATTCTCTGGCGGCACTTAAATCCATCAAAATCATCCAGTACATAAAATAATGCAGGCCTTATTATGGAACTGAATTCATGATCAGTAAATTAAAATACTAGGATTTTCCCACCAAGTTCTCCAAGAATCCACCTCAGAACGTTAAACAGTTCACATTTGGCATTATAATGAAAGCTGAGTGTACATTTATGCAAGAAATTGTACCTGCTTCTATATCAGAAAGCAAGCAAGAATATTTGTCATAGTAAACATTTGTAACATAGAGCGAATAAGTGATTTGCTATACAGTAATAGGAATAATTATTATGCTGAAGATTCTGTCCTGATTGTATACTAATTAATCATTATAAAATATTAGAGTGGATTTATTTTAGATTTGCATCTAACTGGATAAGATGACAGGAATCATATTACTTACACCATATAACTCATAATGCTTATTAACCAATTTATTAATATAGTATGCTTTGTAATAAATTAATTTGTGCCTAGTCACAAGTAAATTAAAAGGCAACATGACTTTGTAGTAACAAAACAAATGTGAGTCCAGACTTCCATTAACAGAACCTAACAGCTAAAATTCATACAAAATCCACAAAATCATGTTTTATGTGTTATGATGTCTGTCTCTAAATCTGTCATCTAATAAATAAGTAGCTCTAAATTAGTTTAGAACTGAAGAGCAGGGACTATTTTTTTTATCAGTTCTGTTGATACCCTGAACGTTAGTTTGAACTCTTTACCTTATAATGCAATTCTCTTTTAATATGCTTTTGCCAGCCCATTTTTTGGGGTACTTTACTCAGAGTTTACATTTTCCACAGGAAGAATTATATAACATTTCTGCTCATTCCTTGTTAAATGTAGCAGTTGTAATGCAGATGATATAATAGCTTGATTATCTGTAGCTGCAGAGATTTTTTTCTAGGCCCATGAGAAGTGAGTCAGATTTCCTTTGACAAAGAGGGGTGTTTTTTTCTTCTTCATATAGATGAAAAGGCAAGCCAGTTTGTTTCAGTCAGATGCTTTGTATTGCCTTGAAAGCTACACTGGCACTTTCAATAGCCAGAAGATATTTTCACACATGCATTATACATGAAAGAAGCACCTAATAATCAGTAGTGTCAATTGGAGCATGTGAAACACAGGCTTATTGCTTTTTCACTTCACTCTTGGAAGTGAGATGGCCACACTGCTTCATGAAACAGCTCCAAAGGGATACTTCACTCAAACCTTTTTCCTAAGTGAAAACCCTTTATGAAGTCTGCAAAATCCCAATATCCAGTACTTCCTACTACAATTTCAACCTGAACTCTTCAAGATTACTTAATATTGTACCATTTTAGGTCTAATTTGAAGTTATTTTTCCAGTGGTGGTTCTTTTTCTACTGGTTGCTAATTTATACCATAAATATTTGTTTTCATTAAGAATTTTTATTTTATTTATTTGTTTATTATTTATTTTATTTATTTATTTATTTATTTATTAACAGCAGACTTTTCTGCAGTCAGACTCCTAGCGGCTCATAGCAGTTCTATTTTTTAAAAAAATAAATCATATTTATCTCTTAAATACAATCACAAACAAGAAGTAAAACAGATTTTATCAATAAAATACAAAGAGAGAAACACAAATAAAACAATAGAAAAAAATCACTCAATCATCCATTAACAGCAACAATCTATCCTTTAAATGCTCATGAAAGAACTTTATGATTTCAGCACTTTCCAAAATGATAAAGGAGAAGATATCATTCAAATAATGGAGGTATTTATTTCAATTTCAATGGTGGAGCTATTACTGTCTATCCCACAAATTGTATTCTGACTATTGATGAATGGACTAGATAGGTTAAACCCTGCTACAGTCCTAAATGTATTTAGGTAACAATCCATTAAAAAACAATCATGAATTGTAATTGAAACATTAATAGTAGACAATGAAGCACTTGCAACATTCGTATTATATGATTAAGACAGTTCTTATCCACCAATAAGTGTGAAATACTTTGTTTTTCACCAAATAAAACTATTCTTCAGTGGTACAACCATCCAAAAGTGAATGGCATCCAACAGTGAATGTATTAAATAGTAAATCTTGATAACTTTCAAGGTTTCTAATGTTGTTTATTTATTGTAACAAATACTTAATTCGATAGATGCAAATAAATTCAAAATTGTGATTTAGGCACATAACATATTTCATGAAGTCTGCCTTCATAAGATGAAGATAGATAGTTTTTCAGACAAACTTAACTGACCTTGTGGACCCCAAAAGAGCAGAAATATGTCTGCTCTTTTGGGCTTCACTAAAAGCCATTATCAATAAATATGCATTTCATTTTATCACCAAGAGTTGGGCATGTATCTGTTCCACTATGTTCTTTTGTACTCAAGATATCAGCAGATCTTGCCTTTGTGCTTGAAAAAATTTACTTGAAAATTTGCAATTAGATAGGTAAGACAGTAATTAGGAAAATGAAAATGGCTATACAAAGCAAATTTCATTCTGGGATGTTCATTCTGATTTGTGGCATCTCTCAAACAGCACAATTAAAACCCCAGATTTCCTATAACTGAGTAGGAAAATATTCATATGATGGTTATAAGAATTGCAATCAACACCCATAATTATGTATGGAACTCAGAAGAATTTCAGTAATTTGTCATAAAGCAGGAGTAGGAGAGATATAATATATTGGTACTGCTAGTATCCAATCATTTGAATGAGGATACATCTAGAAACCTTGGCAGTTCCTTCTTAAATAAGGAGTAAAAAAAGGCAAGGTATGAATAGTTCAAGCTTGGGAGAAGTTAGATTCTTTTTTAAAGATTGAAGTGGGTTTGTATTGGACTTACATTTGAGAAACAAGTTAACTTCTCTCTTTTATTCATTGTTTATAGCCAAAATGATTTTTAAAAATGAAAGTTATTCCATTTATAGGTCTTCAACAGTTGAAGATGAAGAAGAAAGGTGATGCTAACCACCCGGTGACCATAGGACAAAAGTTATACACGGTCCTAAATCAGGAATGTAACAATTCCTATAACTTTCATTGTTAAATGGAATAACCCTAAGAAGATAATAATGACTGCAACATGCTTTTGATTTAAGATAAGCTATATTTTGTTCCTGAAGCAGAGTGAGGTCACAGCTCCCTTTTATTCAATTTTGTATTGTTTGGAACATGAATAATATAGGATGTTATTCTATGTAATCTATGTCAAGTTTATTTTAAAGTTTATATTTTGATCAGGGACCTCTAAAAGTTTGCATATTTTTAATTTCCTCTTCCAAGATAAGGGTAATTAGAAAAAGATATTCAGATGAACCAGTCTGCTCTTTCCCCTTTCCAGAAAATAAAAAGTAATGTAATAAAGCTCTCCACATGATAGATCCATATGACAGATCTGTCAGTGCTGTGGTTTCATAATAATGTGTTTGCTATAAAGGACTGAATTCTAAAGGACATTGCTTGATCCTGTTATATCTAAATTTACCTGCAGAACTCAGCAAATATTTCTCATGCCTGACTTTTAGCATTACTACTGATTTTACTATTTATTCTGTTTGTATAATGCTGCCAATCTTGTAAAATAATATATTGGATTTGTAGTTTATACCCTTGGGCAGAGGTGGAATGACTATTATTTGTTTGAGAGAATAAAGATGGATTTATTCTCCAGTGCTTTCAGTGAATTAATTATCTACAGGACTTCCCACTGTTTATGCAATCAGAAATTTGTATAGATCTGTTTGCTCCAATCAAAGACACAAGAGTCCTGATTAAATTCCCATAAAGACATTTAATAAACAAAAAAAAAAGGCACACTGAGAAAAATATGTTCAAAAATGTTCAAATAATAATTGGAACTGATTCAATAAAATCCTGTAATTAAACATATTATTCTGAATCAAAACATATTTTCAGATTTTGGTTTGTTTTCATATAATAATTTAAACTAGATTGACTCAAAATGGAATTAGATTCTCTCCTGGTATATTAGATACAATTCCTACAATCTGTGGTTAATTTAAAAGACTGGAAGCTTTGGGGAAAGTAAGTAATATTAGTAAATATTAGCAAATAAAAAGCATCATTTCTATGCATATATTTATCAGCTTTAGGAATAATATGCACTATATTCTTTCATAGTGCATTTGGGATAATGTCTGAATCAGTCACAGTCATGTATGCTGATTTATATAATCCTTTCACAGAAGGAAGATTAATGAAATCAAAGATATGTGTAAATGCATTTGCTCTCACACACTACACATACATCAATAATACTGGACTGAATTTCCCATATTTGATTTACTAATACATTGAAGCACTTTTCACCCAAAATAAAATGAAAGAAAGAAAACTCCAGAAAAGTTTAAACTGCCATAGCAAAATGAACAAAGATAATTGTGACAAATGAGAATTAACTATGTTTTTAGTTTTCTGTCCTGAACGTTTTTCCAAAATCAGAGATCAACAGCGTCACTTGAGTTTCTTTGTGAGACTTTTCTGTTTTTCAATGTTTTAGTTTATTCTTAATATGAAAAGTAATATTTTGTTTTGTTAAGTTTCCACAGAAATAGTACTACAAAAAAAAATGAAGACAGTAACAGATGCTACTAATCTCACTTGGAAAAGTTAATTTTTTTCTTTACTGTTTTACATGTAAAATTTGTAGCAATGAATATGTAATTGAAATATTACCTGCGTTAGTTCATTACTATCTACAAGTCCATTGTTGTCTGAATCATAATATTTAAACATCTGATCCACCAATAATTTCTTCAAAGCGATTTTATCTTCAGTAATGCTTTCTTTTGTTTGTAGAGTATATTTTCTGTTCTGTAGATCCAGCAGGAAATTTTTCATCTTCTTGTAATCAATGGAATTGCAGTTGTCCCCTGTCAAAACAATATCACGTTTAATGGTATCATACAACTTTTTAAAAAGAACAGTTTTGTTACAGTTTCTTTTAGCACAAATATTACTAATATATTTTCAGTAAAATATTATGAGACAGAAATTGAAACAGAGTCACTTGACAGTTTGATAGAATATACATTTAAAAAATAAAATAAAATAGATAATATGATTGGTTTAATCGGTTTAAAAACTGAACTGCATTTACAAATTTGGATGGCCCAGGATCCAAGATGTCCAGTCAGCAGCTCAACATATTCCAAGGATACTGTAGGCTAGCACCATTTTAATGTGTTTAGTTTTAAAGTTTTACTATGGTATTTGTTCTGACCCCCTTCTCCATCCATTAACGAATGCCGAGACAAGCTTAAATGGAATGTCCTTTAATAACAAGACACCAAAACCTCGGTGGCTGAAAGCCAAGCAAAACAAACAGAGAAGGATCTCAAACAAACTCAGGCAGCAATAAACACAGATAAGGCTTGGCAGCAATCCAGCCTGCCGAGCTCACAGTTCTGTCCTCCGACATTCAATCCTGCATTGACTTCTGCAAGAGGGGCGTGTCACAAGCAGTCTTTTTTATAGTCTGGAGAGGAGTCTAATGACCATCAGCTGGGTGCAATTACCTCCTGTAATTGCGTAATTGTTCCTGACGCCGAGTAGCTCTTCAATGGCATCCAGGAACAACTCACTGCTGGCTTCTGGATCACTCTCCCTTGTCTCCTCCCCACTGGTC